GGAGCAAGTGTCCAACTTTGCAGCCAACTCCCAAGTGGCCCCAGGCCAGTCACTTGCCCTCAGGGCTCCACACACCTGGACCTCACCTCCATGAACTCCCTGAACTCAGCACCTGACGTGACCTCGGTCAGCAAGTCTGACCGCAGGCTCTGTCCTCACTCCACCTTCAAATTCCTGCACAGTCTTCAGCCCCAGCTCAGAAGCCAACACCGCTTGTGCCCCAGGGGCTCCCCCTCCCAGGCGGGGGTGAAGTCCAGACTCGGCTGTGGTCAGGATCGGGTAGCGGCTGACCGGCCACGTGTCTCAGTTCCTTCAACCTCCGAAGCCACGTGTGAAGAAGGTGCCATTAACCGGCGCAGGGAAGTTAGATGACCTACTAGTAGGCAGGCCGGGGGCAGGCCAGGCAGCTGGCCTTCCAGAAGCCACTGTTCCCGCAGCCTCCACAGCTCAGCCAAGCACCCTGGGCTCCGAGCAGGGACACCCACCCAGAGGTCCATTCTTGGGGTCCCTCCCCACAGCCCTCCGTACTGACCACGTTTCAGGAAGGTCCATCCTGGGGGCACCCCAGGGAGTGGTGCTGGTAGGGAAGGTGGGCATAGCAGGCGAGGGGTCCGTCTCGAGGGCTCGGCCTGGGGCTGTATCTCAACTCCTGACTTGGTTGCCTGGCCTGTAAAGTGGGAGCGATGGTCCTCACCTGTCACAGGCTCCAGTGAGAATTCTGCGTGTCCTTTGGTGCTCACTGAGCTGGGAAAGAACAGAATGATCTCTGGGGCGGAGGGAAAAGGAGAGGCCGGGGCCGTTTGGGAAACAAAGCCGAGCCTGCGAGGCCAATCCCTCCACATCCCGACTCTCCTAATAAAGTGTCCTGTACGCTCCGGCCCAGGAGAAGGGCTCTCCAGGCACGAGCCTTGACCCCGCACCTGCGTGAGCGTCTGGTAGACGCAGACCTGCTGAAGCAGAAGCGGGGGGCTTGGCGAGGACACGACCTGAGTCCCCCAGAGTCCCAGAAATCGGGGAGAGGGGCCTAAACAGGCGCAGTCTGTCGCAAGGAGAGTATACAATTAATCCTGTCTGGGATTGCTTAGTTATTTCTCAAAATCACCTGTGTCCCCTGGTTCAAGGCTCCAAACGGTTCCACGTGGACCGGTAGGAGAGCTCCGCCCTGGGCCCGCCGTCCTTCCTGGAGGCTGCGCTTACCTCTCGAAGCCGATCTCGGTATTTATCTTAACGCCTCAGCATCACGTGCTCCTATTACTACTTCTCAGCCTGTCAGTTTCAGTCACAATCCGTTGCTTTCCCGCCATCCCTAGTGCTGGTGGGAGCCACCTCTCTCCTTCCCTGCGCCCCAACCTCTCACACTCTCAACAATTAAGTGATAATCTAAACTCAGCCGCCAGCCTGCCACAGCTGCTGCTGCATAAACACTCACCGCTGAGGCCAGGGGTCAAGCTCGCTTTCCCTTCTGCGCGGCTCCCTTTTCCCTGGAGGTTTTTGGGGGGATTTTTTTTCATTTGCTAAGTTTTCAATAAATTGATCACTAACCTAACCCCGAACTTTTTACCAGCTCCCTAAAGCTCTTAAGATTTGTGGACGCAACACCCTTCATGAGGGTCCGAACAATATGCTAATCAATTAATTTTCGATTATGAGACCTTAGTATTTTACTTGGCCCGATTATCATTTATAATTAATTCATGATTCTATTTAATGGAATGTTCAGTAATGGGAAGTACTAATAAACATAATATGCATTTCTTTGTTAAAATGATGTGTGTCATAATGTATATAACACTCTCGTTTAGGAAAAAATTACTAAAAATTTTTTTTTTAAGATCTCTGGACTCAACAGGTGTTCTGTCGTTTTATCTTCCTGGAGAATCTGCATCGAGCTCTCCGACCGTCCCTAATGGGGTTCCCTACGGAAACTCTTGTGTCTTGGACTCCATTACTTCCTTTCTTGGTTTACTCCTTTGTTTTGATGGAGCATATCCTATAGTAGCTTTTCAAAATATATATGTTTTTATTGATTTCAGAGAGAGGAACGGAGAGGGGGAGAGAGATAGAAACATCCACGATGAGAGAGTCATTGATCGGCTGCCTCCTGCAGGCCCCTTACTGGGGATCCAGCCCCCAACCCGGGCATGTGCCCTGACGGGGAATCCAACCTCGACAACCTCCTGGTTCATAGGTCGATGCCCAACTATTGGGCCACGCCAGCTGGGCTATACTAGGTTTTTGAGAAAGGGGACAAGGGATGCAATTTTTAAAATATCTGACACGCATGAAAATGTCTACTCCACCTTCCTGCCTGATGGATGGGTACAGAATTCTTAGAAATAATCTTCCTTCAGCACTTTGAGACGTGCTCTTCTCCATTTTTATTAGTTACCTATTGCTGTCTTTAAAATGAGCCCTGGGCCCAGCATGGGCTTCCGGAGCCCGCCACGCCTTTCTTCCCTCCCAGGTGTGCATCTTTTCTCTTCTCTCCTAAACGCTCAGGGTCGCCACGAGACTTGTAACCAGCGAAGCAACGGACAGCTGCAGCTCATCCCGGTCTTACCTCCTGAACCTGTTTCTAAGGCCCCCCCCCCTTTTTTTATAAAACAGAACATTTATTTATAAAATCACAGAGGTGGAAGAAGTAATTCCTAGAAGAAATGGGCTTAGGAAACAAGCTTTAGAGGCAAAGGAAGGGCCCTTGGAGCTCGGGAGTGAGGAAGGTGATGGTAACACGCCTGGGGCGGGGAAGGAAAGGGCGAGGGAAAGGCCGGGCGTGCTCCCAGGAGGGAGCGCGCTCTGGGTCCTTCATCCTAAGGGTTCTAAGGGTGCAGGTTTTAGGGGAGGTCCCAGGGGAAGATCTTTTTTTTAAATTAAATTTATCGGGATGACAGTGGTTAATATGAACATCCAGGTGTTAGGTGTGGGTTTCTATGTTACAAGGTCTGCGTGGTGCACTGTGTGCCCACCACCCAAACTCTTACCTTCTCCTATCACCGTGTATTAGGACCCCCTTCACCCCGCCCCCTTCAGGAGGTCTCAGTAGAAGATCCAGCAGTTTTCCAGGTGCATCCTCTCGGGGTCCTGGTCTCCGCTGACGGAGGGTCGGCGCCAGGGCGGGGGGGGGTCATCATTCGACGCAGCTGGTCCTGAGCTCAGCCGGGCTGGGCTCGCTGCTCCTCCGGGCAATGCCCCCGGGGAGCCGAAGCGGCGGCACCTGGGCTCTCCTGCGGCTGCGTCCACCCTGAGCCCTTTCTTCCTTCCTTTCACTGTCCTCAGCTTTAATAAACATACTCTCAAAATACGTAATAAATACGGCCTGCCCTTTCCTCTCTGTCTCCTCTGAAGACCTCGGTGCTTGTTCCGTTTGCGGGATGGGCATCGTCTCCTCCTGCTGTGTGTGCTCTTCGGTCGATTGATTTTTTAAATCTTTTTGTCTCATGTTTGAGGTTCTTAGTAACCCTTGGAGGCTCTGCTCACGTGTCTGTGGGGATTAAAAAGCTCGAAGCACCTGACGGGGGCTTGTCATTTGACCTTCACTGTGGGTGATGGCAGCTGAGCCATTTGCTCGTGGAAACGTCAAAGTCAGTACCTTCAGGTCTTTCCTCTTGGGCTGGTCACGCTTCTCGGAAAAGAGGGAGAAGCCTGGGCGGCGGCCAGACCCGAGGGCTGAGTTAGGGGGGAGGCTGGGGCTCCACTCAGTGCCGTTGTTACCTGTCCCCCGCTCCCACGCTCAGCGGGGCCTGGGACCGTCCCCTGAACTCCCTTCAAGAATCAGTCTCGCCCTGGCCCGTGTGTCTCCGTTGGTTGAGTGCCGTCCTGTGCACCAAAGGGTCGCTGGTTCGATACCCAGGTTGTGGGAGGCAACCATTAGGTGTTATTGTTTTTTCTCTCAAATCAGTAAAAATATATTAAAAATAATTGTAGCCCAGCTGGGCGTGGCTCAGCGGTTGAGCATCGACCTAGGATCCAGGCGATCGGAGTTCGGTTCCACTTCAGGGCACAGGCCCGGGTTGCGGGCTCGATCCCCAGTCAGGGTCGTGCAGGAGGCAGCCCATCAAAGACTCTCATCATTGATGTTTCTCTCTCTCTCTTCTTCTCCCTCCCTCTCTCTGAAATCAATAAAGATATATTTAAAAATAATTTTTTTAAAATAGAGATATGGCCCTAGCCGGTTTGTTCAGTGGTTGGAGCGTCAGCTGGCAGACTGAAGGGTCCCAGGTTTGATTCTGGCCAAGGGCACCTACCTCAGTTGCAGGTTCGATCCCTGGCCTGGGTCGGGGCGCATGCGGGAGGCAACCAGTCTATGTCTCTCGCACATCGATGCTTCTCTCTCTCCCACTTCCACTCTCTCTGAGAAGCAATAAAAAAAATCCTCCAGTGAGAATTAAAAATATATATATATAGGAATGCAAAATAATTTAAAAAAAGAATCAGTCTCCAGGGACCTCTCATGAGGGTGGGGTCTCTGACTACGCTCATGGGTTTCCATCCATCCATATATTATATCTATATAGTTTGGTTATTTCCTCTTGCTGAAAAAAAAAGGAATTGGTCTCCAAGTTTCTGCTGGGGTCTGGGGATGGGAAATAGAGATTGGCTGGCTGCTTTTTTATTGACTTTTAGAGAGAGAGAAACATGGACTTGCTGTTCCGCTCACCCATGCGCCCGCTGGCTGACTCCCACGGGTGCCCAGACCAGGGATCGAACCCTCAACCTTGGCGTATTGGGAGGACGCCCTAGCGGAGCTGCTCGGCCAGGGCCAACCGGGCTGCCTTCCTGACCCTTCCAGGGGACTTGGTGCGGCCGATTCCCCGGCTGCTCGCTGAGCCCGCGGCCGGCGTGGAGCTGCTTTCTGGAGAGGCGCTTGCACCGGGCACCCGTTGTCCCAGCTTCCCGAGTGGCGGTGCCCCCGCCTCTCCCGTAATTGCCAGGCTCGTGGGCTCCTCAGGTGTTTTGCAGCAAGATTTCGGGAGGCAGAGAGGCGGGTGCGGGGTGCATCCGGCATCTCCACCTGCGGCAGCATTGTGGCGGCCTGGGCAACTGCAGAGTCACACGCTGCGGGGACCCCGGAGCTTGGGAGGAGGGACAGAGCCCGGGCTGGCTCCTGGCGCCTGGCCTGGCCTTCCTGCCGGGCGGTCTGGCCTACAGAAGGTGCGGGACCGATTCCCAGAATCCCCGGGCCCGGCGGGGGCAGGGCCGGGTGCTGGGCAAACAGATCAAAGGTGAGACTGCGAGTCCAGACCAGGCCTGGCCGCTGGGTGGGCGCACCATGAGGTGGGTGGGAGCCCCCACAGCCTCCTGGGCCGGGGCGAGGGGTGACGGCACCCCCAGGCCCTCACCCGCCCACCCCTGTCCTGTGCTGCGGCCCCTCGGGCTGCTGATCCTCCTGGGCCTGCTCTGGGGCTCAGCAGCCGCCCCCGGGGGCCCACAGTGGCCCCAGCCCATGTTCGGGCGCCTGGTGTCCCCAGGCTTCCCGGGGAAGTATGGGGACAACGAGGAGCGGAACTGGACCCTGACGGCGCCCCCAGGCTACCGCCTGAGGCTCTACTTCACCCACTTCCACCTGGAGCTCTCCTACCTCTGCGAGTACGACTTTGTCAAGGTGCCAAAGGGGCGGCGGGGGGAGGCAAGGGCTGGCCAGGGCTCGGGGACGGGGACACCTGGGAGTGGGGTCTGGCCTTGGGTCTCGCTGTGCCCCCCAGTGACCCCCGACCCCACAGCTGAGCTCGGGAACCAAGGTGCTGGCCACACTGTGCGGCTGGGAGAGCACAGACACGGAGCGGGCCCCCGGCAACGACACTTTCTACTCCCTGGGCTCCAGCCTGGACGTCACCTTCCACTCCGACTACTCCAACGAGAAGCCGTTCACAGGGTTCGAGGCCTTCTATGCAGCCGAGGGTGAGCGAGTGGAGGCGGGGCTGAGAGGACCCGTGGGGTACCTCTGTCTTAGGCCAGGCCAGGCCTCCCTGAGGCCGGATTCCTGCCAAACCAGCAGGAGAGGAGTCCTCCTTCCTGTGACATATGCCATGCAGATACCAGTGACATCTGTGACGTCCGCCCAGGCCGAGCCCCACTCTCGCTCTGTGCCAGGGGCCAAGACAGGGGTATCCTCACAGCCCCCAGTGATTCGAGGGCCGGGAACGCACAGAGCTTGGCGCCCTGTGTCTGCACGTGGGCTTTGTGCAGATTCCGGCTCCTGCAGGGACCAGCTGTGTGGCCTTGGGCAAGTGGCTCAACCTCTCTGTGCTCCGCTCGAGGCTGCTTGTAAGGGGTGTGGGGGGGGGTGGACCTGTGTGATAGTCCTGCCCACTGCCCACTGCGTTCCTCTGCTGGCTGCTCCCTCCATAGCTGGGGACCTTGAGCAGCACGCATCCTGCCACTGGGGTTAGGAAGGTGCTATTACTTTCTACCTCCACGTGGGAGGAGGTTGCAGTGACCCCAGGCCTCGTGCTGGGCTGGGCACCAGCCACCTCCGGACAGGAGGCGGCTCTCAGGTCAGCCACGAGGCTGGAGGTCTCCTGAGCCCAGGCCCCATGGGGCTGTCCCAGCTCCACTGACTCCCTGCCGCCCCCCCCAGACATCGATGAGTGCCAAGCGCCCCCGGGGGAGGCGCCCGCCTGTGACCACCACTGCCACAACCACCTGGGCGGCTTCTACTGCTCCTGCCGTGCGGGCTACGTTCTCCACCGCAACAAGCGCACCTGCTCAGGTGAGCCATGGCTGGGGGGGGGGGACCCTGGGCCGGCCGGGCCCCCACGCTCCTCAGGGCCACGGCTGCTCCGCCTCGGGGGCTGGCGGCCCTTCTCTGCTTCTCTGTCCCCTCACTGCGTCCACCCACCCGCATTCTCTAATTCCGTCCTCCCTCCCCCGGCTCGCTCCCTCCTCTCCAGCTCATTCACGGGTTAGCGTCTTAGGCCCCAGCTGGGCGCCTGGGCCAGCTGGGCTCTGGGACCCCACACAGCCACCCCACCCTCCAGGGGAGGCGCCCCGTGTGGAGGAGGGGGGTCTAGGCCCAGCTCAGCCCAGCTCCCCTCCACAAAACTTCAGGATGGGGGGCAGGGCCTGCTCAAAGCTCCCAGTTCCCGGCCCCCAGCAGGCTGACCCCTTTGACCCCACTGCCCGAGGATGTGCCTCTGTGCCTCTGCCAGACACCCGGACAGAAAACCAGCTGGTGCCGCCCAGCTGGTGCGGCTCAGTGGTTGAGCGTCGACCTATGCACCGGGAGGTCCCTGGTTCGATTCCTGGTCAGGGCACACGCTCAGGTTTGGGTCCCGATCCCCAGCGGGCGTGTGCAGGAGGCAGCCGATCCGCGTAAATGTTTCTCTCTCTCTGATGTTTCTGTCTCTAGCTCTCTCTCCCTCTCCCTTCCTCTTTCTCTAAAATAAAAAAAAAACAAAACATATTTTAAAAAAACAAAACAAAACAAAATGCCATACCTGACTATTTGGAAAAAACAAACAAACAAATAAAACACAGCTGGTGCCCTGGGGAGTGGGGCGCCCCAACCCCTGGCGCTGACCCTGCCTCCCAGTGGCGTTTCTCCCCGTCTCTCTCTTTTCTCTTCCAGAGCAGAGCCTCTAGCCCCCCCTCCGGCTCCTGGCTGCAGCTCTGGGCCGGGCGAGATTGCTGCTGCCTGCAGCCCCCATTCACCCACCCCCAGAGCTAACAATAAACCTGGCTCCCCCCCACCTGCTGCTGCGTGTCTCTGGGGGGGGTGCGCACCCCGGTTCCTCTCCTCCCTACCCTCATCGTAGTCTGGATGCGCCTCCTCGGTGGGCACCCCTCCCACGGGGCCACAGGATCCTTTGCCAGAAGCCCCCCTCCCATTTTGAAGAGGCCAGAGAGGGGCAGAGACTTGCCTGAGCTCACACGGGGAACAGGGTGCTCTCTGCTCCCCCACTGCGTCCCCAGGAGCTGAGCTCCGAGCATCCTCGGACCACCTCCTGCTCAGAGGGCAGCTCAAGCCCTGGCTGGGCTGGGCTGGGGGAGCCGGGCCGGGAGCAGAGAGGCCCAAGGAGGTGGTCATTGGTGGCGGTCTGGTCCCCACATCCAGGGGTGATTGCCTCGGCCCCAGGGGGAGCGGCCACAGGGAGGAAAGAAGGCGGGGCTGGGACCCCTCACTTCCCAGGAGCCTCCCAGCTCAAGTGGCCTGGGAAGATGGGGCAGGCGCCTGCCGCGAATGAGGGGTGCCCTGCAACAAAGGGCCACCGGACTAGTCTACGATCCGTGTGGACTTGAGCTTCCCTCAACTGCCCACAGGGCAGAGCCCAGCTCAGGGAAGGCGGGCAAAGGGAGGCCCTTGCTGACCTCTGACTGGTCCGGGTGGGCACCCAGGGCGGGTAGACTGGCCTGGCCGGGAGTCCCCTGGTGGATGGACTTGGGAATAGCTGGGGGGGGCAGGAGCCCTCAGCCCAAGGAGACTCCTGATCCAATTCCTGAGAAATAGGGAGACCCCTCCCCTTCTCTCGGTGCCGACTTCCCCTCAGCAGGGCCAGGACCCCCTCCCTCCCCTCTGTGGCTCTGGCCCCGGACTCCCACCAGAGCCTCAGCTTTAGGGCCCCACCCTCTCCAGGGGTGTGAGTGGGGACCCCCGGAAGAGGTACATCCGAGCGTTGCGTACTTTTGCGGCTTTTTCATTGATTTTTAGAGGGGGGGGAAGAGGGGGAGAGAAACATCGACGAGAGAGAAACATCATCGATTGGCGGCCTCCTGCAGGCCCCCCGCCAGGGACGGAGCCCGCAACCCAGCCGCGCGCCCCGACGGGGAATCCAACTGGTGACCTCTTGGTTCACGGGTTGATGGTCAGCCACTGAGCCACACTGGCCGGACAAGTGTTGCCTATTTTAGCTAAAGCCTGGGAGCTATAGAAACTCCCTCCCTAAGTTGTCCCTGCAGCTGCCGGGGTGGGGCCCTTGGCCTCTGCAGGTGCTTCTGGAGCTGGCCACGGGCAGGGCCTTGGCCCCGGCCACAGCCAGTGTGGACAGTCAGGCTGCCTGCTCCGGGCTCACCGCCCTGTCCTCTCCCCTCTTCCCAGCCCTGTGCTCAGGCCAGGTCTTCACCGAGCGGTCTGGGGTGATCAGCAGCCCCGAATACCCTCAGCCTTACCCCAAACTCTCCAGTTGCACCTACAGCATCCGCCTGGAGGACGGCTTCCGCGTCATCCTGGACTTCGTGGAGTCCTTCGACGTGGAAACGCACCCCGAAACCCAGTGCCCCTACGACTCCCTCAAGGTCTGGTTCCCGGGCCCCCCAGCCCATCCCGGCTCCCGCAGGTCCTGAGGTGACAGGGGCCTCTCTTCCTTCAGGTTCAGGCGGACAAAAGGGAATACGGCCCATTTTGTGGGAAGATGTTGCCCAGCAGGATTGAAACCGAGAGCAGCGCCGTGACCATCACCTTTGTTACCGACCAGTCGGGGGACCACGCAGGCTGGCGGATCCGCTACAGCAGCACAGGTGAGGCAGGGGGCCCCCAAGGAGTTGTTCTGCGGGATTGTTCCGCTTGCAGCTGAGGCCAAGATACTATGTTTAGTTTGACTGGAAACTGTCTCAATAGTCCATGGAGCCAGGGCCTTGTTTCTAAGACGACTGGGTGCTGACCAGGACCTCAGCGTCCCGAGGGCTTAATGATTAAACCAGGGAGAGGGGGCGGGTGAGTCAGGGTGCTGGCGAGGCCGGTTTGAGTGAAAGGAAGGAAATCAAAATAAAAGGCCAGGTTAAAGAAAATAAGGTTTCTGTAAGGTTACAGTTGCCTTTAGCTCGAAACAATGTGCATGCCCGAGCACATCTTGGGTGACTCGCTCTCAACCCCCACCCATTCATCTACCCATCCATCCGTTTATCCACCCACCCACCCATCCATCCGTTTATCCACCCACCCATCCAACCATCCAACCATCCAACCGTCCAACCGTCCAACAACTGTCCCTCCATCCTTCCGTCCCTCCCTCCGCCTGCAGGGGAGACCACACCTGGAGAGAATTTTTATGAGTTTGAGACAAAACTGAGGACGATTGCTGGGGAGCAAGATCTCACATGCTCTGGGGAATAGTTTTATTATTTTTTTAATCTTCACCCGAGGATATTTTTCCCACTGATTTTTAGAGAGAGTGGAAGGGAGGGAAAGAGGTGGGGGGGAGAGACAAAGAGAAACATTGACTGGTTTCTCCAATCGAAGCCTCCCACACGCTTTGGGACAGGGGCCGGGGATTGAACCTGCAACCCAGGTATGGAACCTGCCCTTGACCGGGAATTGAACCCTCAACCCTTCCACGCACAGGTGCCCACGCTCTAACCACTGGGCACCACCAGCTAGGGCAGTTTGCATTTTTTTTAAAAAAACCTGCATTTGAGATGAAGGAGGGAAGGGCAGGCAGTTTACATGAAGGTGGGGAAACAAGGCGGGGCGGGGGAGGGGGAGTTGAAACTCCGCGCTGTCCTGAGGGGGGTCTGACGGGGGCCCTCCGAAGGCATGTTCAGGGCTTGCTTATGGCAAAGATAAGCCTTTTACTAAAGAAGTTACCAGCCGGGGGCTGACCACCCAGCAGGACGGGCCCAGTTAGAAATTTCCGATCAGGTCACCCAGGGAGGTTACTTGCCGCAGAGCCCTTTCTCCGTCCGCAAAGTGATAAAACTCCTAAAACCGATTTGCTGATTTTAGAGCGAGCCAGGGGAAAGCAGTTTGCCAGGCTGGTGGGTGAGAAGGGGCCAGGACGGAGCTTGGAGGCGTAGGCGGGGAAGGTGTGAGCAGGGCGCCGGCCTGGGTACGGGGCGGCTTTGGGAAGCCCTGGGACCCCACAGGGCCGCCAGAGCTGTCCCTGCAGACTGCGTCCCTGAGGGGAGACTTTGGGGCCACCCCAGGACCCAGAGATCAGCTGCTGGAGGGAGGGGGGCCTCAGCCGATGACCGGGGCAGGCTGAGGGGCGGCTGTGGGGGATGGGCCGAAGCCTCGGGGTGACCACAGGCCAGGGCTTGGAGACCAGAGTGGAAGAGTCTCCCCGGAGGCCTGAGCGCTGCAGGCAGGTGCTCCCGGGGGAGGCCCGGGGCTTCCGGAGGCCCCCTGAGCGCCGGTCTCGGTTGAGTCCCAGGTTTCTCCCGCGTGAGGGTTCACTGCCCCCCACTCCGAGCACTTGGCAGAGCGCTAGCCTGGGGGCTTCGCGTCCCATCCTCACACAGCCCTGGAAGGCGAGCCGCTATCCTCACCACTCGCCCCACAGCCAGGGAAACCGAGGCACAGAGAGGCTGACAGCCACCCTGGGAATGGAGAGCTGTGACGAAGCCCAAGCAGAGTGCAGCCTCTCCCGCCCGGTGACGCCCTGTGGCCGTCAGCAGCCGGTGTGAAGTCCTGGCGTGGACCAGGCGCCACGTTCTTGGGGACCGTCCTGTGTCATGACACGCCTGGCTTTCTCGCATAGCTTTGGCTGAAGCTTGGCGAAGGTGGCACGTCCTAATTTGCAGGCCATGCAGCCCTGAGTTTCGCTGGGGCGAGCTCTCTGTCCCCGTCAAGCGTCCCATCTATAAACCGGGGGTGTCGCAGGCTCAGTTCAGGCTCACCTGCCGTAGGCCTGCCAGAACCCACAGCCCGGCTTCCTCCGCAGCTCTGCCCTGCCCTGCCCCGGTGGCGCCACCCCACGGCCACATCTCGCCTGGGCGGGCCGCGTACGTCCTGAGGGACAGCTTCTCCGTCGTCTGCGAGCCCGGCTACGAGCTTCTGCGGGTGAGTCCGAGCGGCCCGGCCCGTAAGCGCGCCCGGGCCGGAGGGCTTAGAAACGGGGACATCTCGTGCCAGCGGATACGCGGCAGGAAAGCGGGAAACAGCTGCTGCGGGCACGGGGGCAGTTTCGTCTCTGGCCAAATAAACATCAGAGAACTGTTTGCTAAGAAGAGGGATGGCTGTGGAGAATGTTTTATTCTTAGGATGACCTTTATATAAAACAACTCCGGGGCTCACAAAAAATTAACCTGCGCTGGGATATAGTACGTTCCACAGGGTTATGAAGAGTGGCCACTGTGAAGGGCGAGGGAGGGTAATTTTAAAAAGTGCCCAGTGTGTTGTTTCAGGGGCACAGGTAGATTAACATGCCCTCTTTATGTTCTTCAAAATTGTCACTGAGTCCCAGTGGTAAAAAGTAATAACGGTGAAATGACAGCAAGCTGTGAGGGGCGACACCGCGGGAAAAAAACAAAGTGAGACACGTTCCCACCTTGCAGACTTTTGGGGCGGGCTCCTTTCCACAGCCCCTTGGACGGCAAACCTGTCCGGCTGCTGATTTTTATTTATAATCGTCACCTGAGGATATTTTTTCCATTGCTTTTCGGGGGGGGGGGG